TTCTTATTAGGGTAGGTTACGTATAAGCTACATTACATGTATGGAATAAAATCAAGGAGACTAATGAATTTTGATTGCTCTATTTTTTATTATTTTATTAAGATTTGTAAGCTAATACTTAATCTATATTTTTAGTCCGATAAACTTACGAGTGAGATGGTAAGTTCAAATATAAAAATAAATTGGATTCGAATTATTTTCTATCAATTTAAAGTTCTTAAGGATAATCAGTTCATTATGTTATGTAAAAAGCAATCTGTGTAGCTTAGTTAGTATCTTTGATGTATATGAAATTTTCTTATGTATATGTATATATATATATATATATAATCATTAATCTCATATACAGTGTAACTTATCGATCAGAAAAAATTTCGAAATAAAAGAAGAATACATCATAGTGGATTAAAATTATACATAAATCGAAATTGCGTATTTGTGCAGGCACAATTGATGAGTAATGATCCAGATTATTTAAGTTGCAAAAAGCAAGAATGCAAGAAATACAAAAAGAACGGAGAATGCCAGATCAAAACATGCAGTGGTTCTTTAGTGTTTCATGTCGTCAACATAAGAACAGACATTGAATTTGTGTTCTTTGGTGGCGGATTTGCAACACCTTGCATTTTCAGTAGGTCAAATCCTCTTAACTTCGCTAACGCTAATCAACCTTTGTACGGTCATCTCTCAAGTAGTGATTCATCAGGAACATCTGTAAGTAATCCAGTCACTTGCTATTATTATAAAATTTGTTGCCTTGTACATATATATATATATAAATATAGTTCATGAGGGTATAATTATATTTTTATCTTAAATTCTATATATTTCAATTCATCTTCAATATTTTAGAGTCAGAAGTTAGAAATTTTAATTTTTTTAAAGTTTTAAAATGTTAATCTCATTAAAGGAGTTCATTAACTGGGTGTAGATGAGATTGACATGGGTTAGCGGAGATAAAGAGCCTCAACAAGTTCGATACGGGGATGGCAAGTCAGAAATATCACAAGTTACTACTTTCACTCAAAAAGATATGAGTGGTACGTTTTCTTCTTATATTATTATATTTTATTTTATTTTATATCATTATATTATATTTAGTTCAAAAAAGGACTATAAATTCAAATCAAACTAATACTTTTTATGATATTCGGTTAGAAAAAATTTTAAGAAATAGATTAATTCTAAGTATATTTTTTAAAAAAATTTAATATAAAAAAATAAGAGATTAACAGAAAGACTTAATTTTTAAATTTACGCTTGTCACTATAAATTTTAAAGGACATGAGTATATATAAGTACTAATACAATTCTAAATAATGAATCATAATTAAATTTAATTCATGAATTATATAAAACCTAATACATAAATTATATAAAAAAAAACTCAAAAAATACATATTAATTATTATATTTATAATCTAAATTTAACTTAATTCTATCATAAGATAAAAAGTCTAGACATATTAAAATTTTTAAATTATTATTTTTAACAATTATTAATATTCAATAGCATATATATATATGTGTGTGTGTGTGTAAATACACTAACATTTCCAAAAACCTCTTTACATGCCAACATTACATATTGCTTTTGCTCTTTTTTTGGGTTTATATAATTATATGCACCCACTATCAAATGTATAAATGTATAGGTTTACAAACTAGTCCAGCCAGGGACTTTGGATGGCATGATCCAGGTTACATACATACAGCAGTTATGACAGGGCTTCAACCTGCATCTACCAACTTCTACAAATATGGAAGGTACTGAAACATTCTCTTATATCTAATTCAAAACAGTATATAATCAAAGCAATATACATATATGCATAAAAATCTGTATACGTTCAGCGATTCTGTGGGTTGGAGTGATGAAATCCAATTCAAAACACCACCAGCTGGTGGATTGTTGGATCAAGAGCTCAAATTTGTTGCATTTGGTGATATGGGGAAAGCTCCTCGAGACGCTTCAGCCGAACATTACATTCAGGTAATATATAATTATTGTGCAGAAAGTAGTTCGATCACTTAGTTAAAAAAACATTGATTAATCATTCTTCGATAGATAAAGTTTTAAGAAAAAATTATGATTAACGCGATTTTTTTTAAAATTAATTACGATAGCCAGGATCTCCCTCGGTGATAAAAGCGATAACTGATGAAGTAAATAATGGAAGTGTAGACTCCATTTTTCACATTGGAGATGTAAGTTATGCAACAGGCTTTTTGGTTGAATGGGATTTCTTCCTTCACCAAATAAATCCGGTGGCTTCTCGAGTTTCTTATATGGCTGCGATTGGAAATCACGAGAGGTAACTTTCTTAAAATTCATTAATAAGATAGATATATTTTATGTTTATATACAGTGAAATTATTACATTCAAATGTTGATAACTTTTAAAGAAATGTAACCTCCATTATAATTTTTACGTCGAATGATAGTAAATATGTTAATTACGTTTTTTCGAATGCAATTACATGCATATACAGAATATTTTTGTAATTAAGTTGTAAGTTTTGAATTGATAGAGATTACATCGGTTCAGCTGGGTCACTGTACACAAATTTTGACTCAGGAGGAGAGTGTGGAGTTCCATATGAGACATATTTTAAAATGCCAACTCCAGAAAAAGATAAACCTTGGTACTCCATAGAACAAGCAGGTGTTCATTTCACTGTAATTTCAACAGAACACAATTGGTCAAAGAATTCAGAACAGGTAAACTCAATGTATATGATTAATTTTGATGATTAATTTGTAAATTGTAATAAATACCCAATTCTTAAAATTAATTCCAGTACGAATGGATGAAAAACGACATGGCCTTGATCGATCGATCAAAAACACCTTGGCTAATTTTCACAGGGTAAGTACAAAATCATCAAGGCATATATATATAGTTCCTTTCTAATGATTTGTTTCTAAGTTGTAAGGTAGAAATTTATTGTTGATATATGTAGGCATAGACCCATGTACAGCACTGGAATTGGAATATCAAATGTGGATAAGAACTTTGTTGATGTTGTTGAACCATTACTATTGGAGAACAAGGTAAGTTATTTTTGTTTTTCGTATAACGATTTAAGTCATATACTACTACTAATAATTTGAGTTTGAATTTTTGAAACTTGTTCGTTTGAATTTAAAAAGTTTTAGATTAATAGTATTTGAGCTCGAGATAGTACATTACTATACTGTATATTTAGATGAACTAAATCTAATGATGAATAGTAAATTTTTAGGTTGATTTAGCTTTATTCGGACACGTTCATAACTACGAAAGAAGTTGTTCAGTTTACGAAAGTCATTGCTTCTCCATGCCTGAAAAAAATGAAAACGGAATCGACACATATGATCACAGCAATTACAGTGCACCAGTACAAGTAGTTATCGGTATGGCCGGTTTCACCCTCGACAAATTCTCTCTCGTAAGTGAAAAATTACAACTAAAATTGTACGTGCATCTTTTTCAAGTAGAAATTACATATATGTGTGTGTGTGTATGTGTTGATCAAGTGAAAGTTTGTTCAAACAGGCTGAGAAATGGAGCTTAGTGAGGATTTCTGAGTTCGGCTACCTAAGAGCTCATGCAACAGCACAAGAACTTAAACTAGAGGTTGTTAAAATAATCTCATATCGTCTCGCCAACTTATTCTTTTCAATATGTATATATAGATATGCGTGTATCAATGTATGTATGACTAATTAATTTGTATATTATTGTTTGCAGTTTGTGGCTTCAGATACAAGAGAAGTGAAAGATAGCTTTCGCATTACAAAAAAGACAAAGTAGGAAAAATCTCATTTCATTAACAAATATATAAATATATATAAACACTTCTATACCAGTCAATAAATCATTTATTTCAAAGAAAGATGGGTGTACATATATATATATGCACATATATATATATTATCAGGCAACCCAAGTAATCTTTCAAAATTTGACATGTGTAATTTTTGTCTTATATATATATATATATAGTAGATAGATAATATGTACATGTTGCTTCACATGAATGGAACCTTAAAAAAATAGAAATGTTGTATGTGTTCTTTTTCTTCTACAGGTCAAAAAATAGTGTTTGTTGGCAGACAGCTTGCTGGTCCAACAAGCATAATGCTTTGCCTTGTCTTTAATAAATATATATATATATATATATATATATGCATATATATTTCCAAGCTTTGCTTTTTTAAATATAGACTCATTAAGTGTGGTCCATTTTAAACCCAACTTTTATATAGCCCAAATAAAACTAACAGTACCCAAATCCATGTATATATATATATATATACATATATATACATATATACATATAAATGTTATTCCAAGAATAAGTAAGATCAAACAGCAGAAAGCTTAAGCAAACATGAGATTGACAAAGATAGTATTATTATTTTATCTTCACTGATTAAATCTCTGAAATCTCTAATTACAATTGATAAAAAGAATGGAAAGTAAAATATAACAACAAAACATTAACTAAAAAAAAAGAATCTCACACAGCCCTTATTATATATATATATATATATATATCCCCTGTTTTCCCCTAAATTTCTCTCCCATTTCCCCACCTCCCCACAATCAAATCTTGAATACAATCACTACATAAATGTGTGTGTGTGTGTGTATATATATAAATACACTGATATAACTCAAACCCAAAACCCAAACCAGTATTTCCAAACTACAATTGTTCCTCTCATCCTCAAAAACCTGAATCAAAACTCAAAAAAAAAAAAATGACCACAAAAGCACTGCAAACACATTAAAAAGGAATCAGTGCTTCACCCTCCTGTATCAAAACCATGAAGAATAATCCTTTTAAGCCAAGACAATTGAGTTTTCTTCTTTATTTTCTTGTGCAGAATTTCTGTGTTTGGAAACCCACCAGACTCTCAGACTTTTATCAAGACCTCCACTATACAGCAAGAACCCACCACCAACATTATCATTCGATGCCTGTAAACACTTGACAGGAGCTTCATGTCCATTTATAACTCCAATTTTGAAAATCTTACCTTCAAAATCTCTCTTCCATATCCCAATTGTCTTATCAGCTGATCCACTGCACAAATTCTCTCCAACCAAACACATACAAAGAACAGCCATCTGGTGTGATTTGATCTCACAAACCAATTTCCAACTCAAATATTCACCATTCATGACTTCCTCCCAACCCATCACAAACCCATCTGATCCTCCTCCATAGACCCATTTCCCATCTTCTGAAACAACCACAGAATTCAATGAAATATCTTTGTGTCCTTCCAAGATACCTTTCAATGAATGTGAGCTTGATGAGCTCGATGAGCTTGATTTATTCCCTTGTTTTCCCCAAGCTTTGATCTTTCCATCTGCAGATGCTGAGTAAATTATCCCCTTACAAGCTACCAATCCATTGACTGCGTCGTCATGAGCTTTAATCGATTCCAAGCACTTCAAATCTGATATTCTCCACACCTTAAGAGTCTTATCCCAAGAACCAGAGTAAATCAGTCCTTTGTAAACTGTTAAACACGAAATACTATCCGCGTGTTCAATCCATAATCTCTTGTGATTCCGCCTTGTTTGAACATAATTCCTCTGTTTCATAAACTTCCCTAAATAATCCTTAGTAGTAGGAAGTGTATCAACAAGCCTAAACACATTCTCTGACTTTCGTGAAACTTTCCATACCCTAATTCTACTATCTTGATGTGCAGTGAAGACCTTATTACCAGCAGTTACAAGGGCTTTTACAGATCCATCTCCTTGACCAAACTTTGTGAACATTCTCAAATCTGGCTGTTGCCAGACTATGATGTCTTTGCCTTGTGATGCACTCAGTATGAATTCCCCACATAATGCCAAGCAGGAAACTGAGCCGATGTGGCCGGAAAGGACTGCGAGGGATCGGTACGAGTGGAACCCAGATAAGGTTAGGGAAGAAAATTGGGACTTGATATCTAGTAACTCAAATGGAGTGATGGGTTTGTATCGGTCTTCTTCACTGCGGCTACTACTGGTTCTTGAACTTGTTTCTGGAGAGGACAACAATGGGGTGGAGAGAGTTGGTTCTGGCAGAGAAGCAGACATTGTCAAGACCATGTTCTTGGATTCTTTTGTAGGGAAACTTATAGATGTTACCAGAAAGAGAGAGAGAGAGGAGCGTTGTTTAAGGAGAAGAGGAATAAAGAAAGAAAATTGTTTGTTAGTTTATATATAAAAATATATACATATTATATTATCGGTGGGTATATTTAAATGGGTAGTGAGAGGAGTAACGGCTACTTTGAAAAAAATGTAGCTGGCTCGTGAAAAAAGAAACAAATGGGGGACCAATGGAGCTTTTTCTCTTTACATTTGTCATTTATTTATGTGTGGAGTCTTAGCTGTTAGGAGTCTTGGTCTCGTGAGAGAGAGAGAGACATATAGAGAGAGAGAGAGACATATAGAGAGAGAGAGAGAGACATATATATATATATATAGAGAGAGAGAGAGAGGAGACCAAATCATGGTGCTTCTCTACTATTTTAGTTTTAATAATATAAATCAATTACCTATATTTGTATTGTGATTATAAAATAAAATTTTACTATATTCATATTGGAGCTCAAATAATTTTTTAAAAAAATCATATAATTATCATGACAAGAGATATAATAATGAACCCTTTACCTTCTACCAAATAAGTCATAATCTTGAGAAAGAATCTTGCTTGTTTCAGCAGAAAGATTCTGATTTAAATTTATAACATGATTACAAAAATTATAAGTTCCCAACAAGACATGTAGTTTCACAGATAGGATTCAGCATTCAGGCCTTTAAGAACTAAGGATAATTAGTAGAGATAAACTTGGAAGACCAATATGAACTTCTTCCGAATTTACACACGAGAGACAAACACAAGAAGAACACAAGATCAAAGACTGCTACATTCTATGTACAGATGCCAACTTAGAGAAAGATTAACGTTTGATGTTGCACCAAACTTGACCGGAGATGCTCCGGTGGTCGCCTTCAACGAGGCTTATGAATCTAATGAGTCACTTTGGTTATCTTGTTGGGGTACTTCAGAGACCAATTAGGATTCCTTCCATTGGGAAATTTAGGTGTTTTGAGGTTCAACAGAGCTTTAGCATCAGTTATGAGAACTGCCCTCAACATCAAACAGACTATTGAAATGATTTCCAGATTAGCTAAGAATTCCGTGTATTCCATATTGCTAATTTCTTTGTATCCTACAAGAGCCAATGGCTTCCATAATGGCATGTGAGACCCTTCCAGCTCCAGATGGGTTTACATTCTTTAAAGCACACCAGTCAAGAATTTCATAACAAGCCAGTGAAGAATTTTCAGAGCAATTCTCACAATCCTTGCAGCTCCGGATGAGTTCACATTCTTTAAAAGACACCAGTCAAGAATTTCATAACAAAACAGTTAACAATGTTCGCAACAGTTCCGAAAATCCTTCCAGCTCCAGATGAGTTCACATTCTTTAAAACACACCAGTCAAGAATTTCAGAACAGACCAGTTCTGATAATCATTCGTGCAATACATTACCGAATTTGAAATGCAATTGCTTAACAAATCAAGCATAATGCATTCGACCCGATAGATTATTAGTTAGAACTAAAGATTAACATTTTTAATATGCATATCAGAATAATAAGGATAAACTCTATATGATTAGCATTATCTAAAGTGAAATTGAGTATATTCGCACAAGCTTTTACTCACTTCTGTTACCAAGTTCGCTAAGCTCGATTTTCAAACAGTAAAGAAAGAAAATGATCATTTATTTGATACATACTCCAATATGTTTATATGCATACATAAATATTGTTAGAAAATGAAAGAGTTTGAAAACTACTAATACTTTTTTAAAATATATATATATATATACCACACACTTAAATATCATATATACCAGAATCAACAACAATCAATCATTCAAAGAAATCATACAAAAGCACAAACATCACCACTACGAATGTTGACAAAGTTTTCACTGTGATAAATCATGGTTCTCTACTTTACCATCAAGCAGCCCCCCTTGTTTGACGGCATCAACATTCACAGATCCAGTTGCATCCTCAGCTTCAAACCACATCACCAGCTCCTCAAACTGCGTTTCAACATCATCACCCTCCCCCTCAAAACAATCATCCTGGTGTTGACTCGCCCAATAATCCTGGAACCATCTGCACGTTTTCACCAGCTCCCACCATTGGGGCGAGAAATCCTCCACCTCCCGGTATGCCGCCGGTATAAACATCGGCGCATTGGGATTCAACCTGCACACTCTTCCCTCCACCATTGCCATTTCTTTACATTAACTATACCTAATTCCTCGAATTTTACTATAACTCAACAATCTGCAATCCGCCGCGAAAATGATCTTAACAAACAAATTAATTAGATAATGTCGATTTTTACCTTCAACGAACCAGAAATCACAAGATTACTACTCAAAATACCTAAATAAATGCGTGCTTCTCACATGTTCATGCTACCACGAGAGTAACTTATTTAATCAAAAATGACCATCATTAAAGTTCAGAACAAACGAAATGAAAAGCAGATTATATAAATTTAAGGAACTAAATCAGAAATTAACACGATCCGAGGAAAAGATCGAGCTTTACCGTTTGCGTTGATTCTCCGGTTGGTCAACAGTGAGTCGAGTTCAGTCAAAGTGAGGAAGGGATAATAGATAAGGTAGTCCGAACGTCCTTTTGCTTCGGATCCGAACCTGAGGTTTTGCTATGGACGGGTTTTGTTTGGCGGAGGGGAGCGCCCGAAGCTTCTATTATATAACGGGTTAGTAGCCGGTAAGCCAGTTAAAGGAACAGACATTTGTCGGTTAACAGTGTCGATGAGGCTAAGATGAAATCCGACGGTTGATATTAATGTTTGACGATCGGACGGTGGTAAGGAAGTTGCTGTTTAGATATTTTTATTTTCCTTTTATTTGTTTATTAGTGAATGATGGAAGATTTTTCTGAAG